TACTTTTTAAGTATTACGTCATCATTAGTTCAGTTTCTTACAGTTAGGCATAGAAAAAAACCAAAACTATTAGATTTTCAGTTTGATAATAAATAAAAACAAGTGAAAATATGCATTTGTCGTCACCCTACCTTAGTATCATATACGGTATTAACGTTCTTGACTTCTGGATTTTTGTACCCTCACTGATGAGGTTAGTATTAGTCAGTCAGCCAGTTTATGAGCCTAATCACTGATATTTCATATCATTGTGAAAGTTTAATACCTCCGTTTCACTAGTCCTTGGGTCTTGCTTTTTTATAACTGATAGTCTTAGAAGCAGAGATGGATGGTAGCTAGCAGTGGAATCCAGGACATAGGTTCCATCCTATCTGGAACTCGTCAGATGGATGAGTTGATTTCATACCGGTACTTGAACCCAGCACCGTTCGCTTCAGAAGCCATCGCGTTATTCACTTAGCTACCGAGTTCGGCTAGCCACTGGTCCGTGCAATGGATTCAAACAACCAATACAAAGTATTTTTAGAGCCTCACTTTTTTCATTTTGTTGGTATCCTTTCCCCGACCGAAGCTCCTACATTGACGCGGTGGTCGGGCTTGCCTATCGTGATGACCCAACCGAGCTATATTGGCTGGAACATATGTTCCTGTAGGTTCTACCATGCCAGGCAGGTCGATTGGAGAACGGTAAGACTAAAAGCAGCAACTCAAGGTCTGAGGGCGAAGTCGTACTGCTGACTGTAGAGGGGTGTGACAGCAGTAAGGTGTTTCCCTCGGACAACCAGCATGACAGCGATGCTGCCTTCCCACAAGGAGGGGTGGGGTTAGAAAAGGTCGACCCTAAAAATGTCACACCTCACCTTACCTCACGGATTTCCGTCTCCGGCGGTAAGGCCCTTTGAAGAACGGAGCTAACACGTTAAAAACCTTCCACAAAAAGGCCGTGCGCGACCGGCCTCAAGCAGTTGTCCCTTGGGCTCTGCGGTCACGCTCCCAGGTCGTCAAGACCAACACTAATCCAATTTCCTTTTCAGGTTCCTCAAGAAATACCCTTCCACGGTGTGGGCAGCCGGGAAGTGATATCAGCCCTCATACCCGTAACAGCACACCAAGGTGGTCACATTCAAATCCTTCCTACACCTCCTAATACCTCTCTTATCTCCATGACTAACCCTCCTCACGTCTCTTTATCACCTCGCACCGCTAGGGCAAACGATTCGAGTACGTGGAACGCCATTCCTGGTCTCCTGAAACCACGCTCTAAACTACACGTAGGAGCTTTTAACGTACGAACACTTGCCAAATAGGACAGCAGGCTTCCTTAGCTAAACTTTAGAATCTCGCGCCATCGATGTGTGCTGCGTCTCCGAAACGCGCATACAGGATCCGAGTAGCGTCATTCATTTGACCTCACCATGCCAAAATAAAGAACCGACTCGATTTACGCTTCGTGTATCTGGAAGCCCTGATTCTGCTTCCCGTGGCCTCGCCGGCGTAGGTATAGCATTGAGTCCTAGGGCAGAACTAGCTCTCTTAGAGTGGATCCCAGTAGACAGTCGTTTGTGCGCTGTCCGACTGAACGGAACAGTAAGAATCCGGAAAGATAGGGACACTCGTCGTTGCCTCTTCGTCGTCTCTGCCTATTCTCCCACTGACTGCAGCTCAGATGATGTAAAAGATGAGTTTTACAGAAAGCTTCGACCTTCTCCGAAAAGCTAGGCGCTCGGATGTAGTAATAGTGGCCGGTGACTTTAATGCTCAAGTAGGTAAACTAAGCGATAGGGAAAGACACCTAGGTGGATCTTATGGTGTCGTGGCTCAAAGAACAGATAATGGCGACCGTCTGTTGCAGCTATGCTCAGATAACCGCCTGTTCCTTGCAAATACTAACTTTAAGCATAAGGAAAAACATCTTTTAACATGGCGACCCCCTAATTCGTCCCAACGTTGGACCCAAATAGATCACATCGCTATCAGCCACCGATGGAGGGGCTCGATAGAAGACTGTCGCTCATTCTGGAGCACATGCTTAGATTCAGATCATGCTCTAGTGCGAGCGCGTATTTGCTTGCGTCTTACTGGACGTAGGAAAGACGCTGCAAGGAAACCTCTTAGGGCCTACTTAATGATAGTCAAGCTAAGAGTATATTTCAGGAACAACTAGGAAAACAGTTAGGCAGCCATGTATGTGATGCCCACCCCGAGGCAGCATGGAATGATATCCGAAAAGCTGTGGAAACAGCAGTGATATCTGTAAGTGCGATAAACCATAAGGTTAGGGAGCAACACTGGATCTCAGCAGCATCTATCGCACTGATAGATGCTCGAAAACTCATTCCACCTGGCTCTGAACATAATGAAGAGCGGAGTCAGCTTAAGCGCAAGCTGACAAGAAGTCTACGCAATGATCGTGAACAGTGGTGGGTAGCGAAAGCTGCAATAGGTAATAGCAGACAATTGTTCAGACTTGTTAAGGAAACCGGTATTAGGAAACCGACCGTTAGCGAAACAATCTCAGAGAAAGATGGACATATTATACATTCTCAATCCAGGAGATTGGATCGATGGGCAGAACACTTTAGGGATCAGTTCAACTGGCCTTCAGCCACACTTCGGTTTCCCACGATCTCCAGTCAACCTGAATGGCAAGTTAATGTAGGTCCTCCGTCTTTACGAAGTTGAAAAAGCCATAGGAAATCTGAAGCGAGGGAGAGCAGCAGGCCCTGACAGGTTTACTCCTGAGATTTTTAAGGATGGTGGTCCAGTATTAGCAGTGAGATTAACTGAGGTCTTAGGTAGAATTTGGGAACTGGACGTAATCCCATCTGACTGGTCTCAATCACTGATTGTGCCAGTCTATAAGAAAGGACAAAAGTCCTCTTGTGACAATCACAGAGGAATCAGTTTGACTAATATAGTGTCTAAAATATTAGCTTCAATAATACTTCGACGCCTAACAAAGCTCGTGAAGAGCAGACTAGAGAAAACCAGGCTGGTTTTCGACCTGGACGTGGTTGTATAGATCAGATATTCACACTACGTCAGGTTCTAGAACACAGACACACATTCAGACGCCCCACAATGGTAGTATTTCTCGACCTTAAGGCGGCATTCGACTCTGTTGATCGTGAGGTTCTATGGCAGTGTTTGTCACTGAAAGGAGTACCAAAGAAGTACATTAACCTTATAAAGGCTCTCTACTCGAACACAACTGGTAGAGTGAGAGCTTATGGCGAACTGTCATCAGAATTGATTACCTCAAGTGGTGTTCGTCAGGGCTGTCCACTCTCCCCATTCTTGTTCAACTTTGTCGTCGACGTACTTTTAGAGATAACACTTTCCTCATCTAAATTTCCAGGGGTTGAACTTCTACCGGGAGGTTCACTTGTTGACTTAGAATATGCTGATGACATAGTTTTATTTGGTGAAGACGCTGACAAAATGCAGAGTCTTCTGACCACTCTAAGCAACAATGCAAGCATGTTCGGGATGCGATTCTCCCCCTCGAAATGCAAAATGTTGCTTCAGGATTGGGTTGCATCGACACCCGAACTAATGATAGGGAGTGAAGTAGTTGAGCGTGTCGATCGCTTCACTTATCTTGGAAGTCTCATCAGCCCTTGTGGTCTGGTGTGTGACGAAATCTCAGCACGGATACAGAAGGCTCGACTAGCTTTTACCAACTTGCGTCATTTATGGCGTAGGCGAGATATCCGTCTATCAACCAAAGGACGGGTTTACTGCGCAGCAGTTCGTTCCGTCCTACTTTATGGCAGTGAAACATGGCCGGTAAGAGTAGAGGATATTCGTAGGTTACTAGTATTTAATCATAGGTGTCTTCGAAACATTGCTCGTATATCCTGGGACCATCGAGTAAGTAACTCAGTTGTTAGGAAACGGGTACTAGGTAAGGATGGCAAATCAATTGATGAAGTAGTGAAACTTCATCAGTTGAGATGGCTGGGACACGTGTTACGTATGCCCAACGACCGACTGCCTCGACGTGCTATGTTCAGTGGTATAGGAGTAGGTTGGAAGAAAGCTAGGGGCGGCCAGACCAAAACATGGCACAAGTCCATGAAGTCACTGACAAGTGGACTGAGTCATGTTGGTAGGTGTAGACTACCTGGTTGGGGACCGCGAGATGATAGCAACCGATGGTTAGAGACCCTGAATGACATGGCTCAAAATCGTTTGCAATGGCGCAGGTGCATCCACTCTTTGTGTTCTCCCAAATTCTAATCTTCTGAATTCTTCATGTCCCTTTTTTCCCCTTTCCAAATTTATTTCACTGGATTATACTCTTTAAATAACATCTCCAAACCCTAATCTTCCCGATTACTGCTTATACTCTTATTACCTCTACCACTACGGGATTTGAATCGACAACTGCATCTCTGTGCTAATGTGGTGTGGCAACTCGAACTGATGTACATACGTACGAAGTTCTACGTTGTTACTGACTGACTGGTATCCTTTCAGAAGATGACTAATATATATGTGTAATAGAATGAATAAACGCTAATATGCAATTTTAATGGCCGACATTTAACCTTATGGTGTTTGTTACTTATGTCGACAGACATAAACAGTACATAACACAAGTCAGAAGTGGAATGCCTGGCAGCAGAAGGTTAGGAAGACCGAATTGAAGAGAACGAGAACAGAGAGTAATTGTAATAACAATAAAGGAACGATGAAGTTTGAGACAATTTATGGAAGATTTGCAAATAAAGTATCGAATGTATGGTTGTTCTCGTTTACTATAATTTTACTTACGAAAATCCTGTTTTTGAATGAATTAAGTAGTTACGATATGAAAAAACAATAATATTGTCTTATCCGAAATAACTTCGAATATATGCTACAAGCTAGGGACCAAATGAACTAGATGGAGTAAAACTACAAAGCTATTAGTTTTTCCTGTTGTTAAAAGATAACCAACAATATTAACAGAATCGGATTGTTAAGTTACTTTTTTTGAAAAAATAACTCAGAACTAAGTGATTAGAAAGTATATATTTTCAAATCTGGGTTTAAATAACACGAAATAATTTTAATTAACAAAAATTGTTAAACAATCATTTAAAGTGCCATTTTCATAGTTATTTTTGGATAAGGTTTATAATCAATCAGTTTAAAATCTTCAAACTTAAAATCATCAATATTCTTGACCTCTCGAACGATCTCCAATTTTGGGAATGGCCGCGGTACACGTTTAACCTATAAAAATGTCGTAAAAAGGAATAGGAGGATGTAATTAGTTTTGGTGATTTAACTTTTCTGATAAAGATTTCATGGCAGTCAAATTGAGGTAAAAGTGATGTGTATGTAAAATCTTTGATGACATATTTGCGATCGTTTTAAAAGGAGGAAAAACGAATGGTTTTCTGTAACGGTTCCAACGGTTGCAGTATATAACCTTGAACATCACAATCTAGTCAGGAGTATAACTCCAAATTTAGAAACTAAGCCATCTATATAGACTGCTATAACATCGAAAAAAAGCTTTCAATTTGTGGTTGATCAATAAGAATGCAACCTTACGGGATTCGAACACGTAGCCAATTGGTTATACTGGACTCACGCAACGGGCAATAAATCGATAATCCTTACTACTAAGAACAAAACGCAACTTTTGAAACTACGCATTGATAACGAACACCTTCATCTTACCTATATATTCACACAAATGCATGATGAATCACTTATTGCCCTTAAACATAGTTCGATAACTGCAATCAATATGCATTTTCACTGCACTGTAAATCAAGAGTTTAGAGTTAGTCTCCCAAAAAAACAATCGTCATATTTAAGTTCCATTCGTCCTTCAACTATGACCGTACGTAATACTATCGTCGTCATGCCTTGGTAGTCGTGCGACAAAACGATATCGGGGGCATTCAACTAAAAAAAATTACAAAGCTTTACGATCAAAAAGGAATATGACTCCGTGTATCTCGTCTCTACGGTCACTTTCTGTTCCCTTGGTTATCCTACTAATACATATTTAATAGTAACCCGATATATATGGTCACAATACCGACTACGCATTTGCTGACTATACCAATAGTTATCGTTCATAGAGGTAACGGTCATAAGTACATTAACTCGTTCATGATCGCATGGTTATTCAGCACCTACGTACATAATTCGTACTTTTTTCCTAAAGTACTATATTTCTGTAACATACGCTCCTCCCTCATGTATCATTCTGCCGTATGGTACATTTCTTTATGCTACCAGTTTTTGAAATACATTCACATATCGTTAGTGTTATTCCACAAAAATAAATATTTTATTTCCAAATTAATGTCCGATTTTCTACAGGGGAACCTCATAACAACTCGTATCGTTACACGCCTATACGAATTATTCTAAAATTTAAACAGACAAATTGTTCTAATTTTTCCATTTATTCCACCAACTATATATTTGACCATGTCAATTACTTACGTTTAACCTCGATTGTTTTACATTAGCATTTGATTGTACGTGTTTCTCTATGGCTTAAAAAACTGAGTCCTTTTATCATGGTTTAAGTCAATGTATTACTGAACTTTAATGGTTTTGTTTGCTTTTGTTATTCAACATTACCGTGACTGAAATATACGTATCCTAGGTAAAATTAATATTCAAATTTTACATACCATTATTCCGCACATATTAACTCAATAGAACATACATGACGAAGTAGGATATATACATATCCTTTCCTTGATAAGCGTTGATCGGTACTGAAGTATAAGGTATGAGGAGCATTGACAACCGATAAGTAAATCCTCTACATAATATAATTTATTACAGGATGAATCCTAGATCAAGTTGTCAAGTATTAAGACAGAATATGCACAAAGCTCAATAACTCCTTACTCATTTTTAGAAAACAAGCAACTGCTTCAATGACCAGGATCGACAAATCTGGTCAACTGCAAGGACATTACAAATATAAACAAAGTAAAAAATAAAGTATCAGAATATCTGAAAGTAAGTAACTAATAAGGAAAAACTTCACCGAAAGAAAACAGGGATTTGTGTTAATTTGGTTGTAGCCAACAAATGTTGTCTATCATAGATCTTAACAAATACAAACAGTAATATTCGAATTTACCTGCTCAAGTAACGCCTCACGATGGTTTGAATAAATATGCGCATCGCCAATTGTGTGAACGAACTCACCAGGTTTTAAACCAGTAATATGAGCAATCATATATGTTAATAAAGCATAACTTGCAATATTGAACGGTACACCAAGACCCTATGCATAACAAAAAGGAAGTATCGAATTGAACCAAATATTGAAAAATAGTGCATACAAGAAAGTAATAACTGATGAAATACATGAAATATATATTTTATATATCTCCTACAAAACAACTTCAAAAATGTACAAATGTAAATCTTATCAAAAGAATTACTTGATATCATTGATTGTTGTATCAGTAACAAAATCAATTTTTCTCCGAAGCAAACCAATAAAACTATCACCATTGGATGCTGGCTCAGTGGTCCAGTTGGTTAAGCGTTCGCGCGCGAGACCGAAGGCCTGGGTTCGAATCCCGCGAGCGGGATCGTGGATGCGCACTGCTGAGGAGTCCCACAATAGGACGAAACGGCCGTCCAGTGCTTCCAGGCATTCAATTGTGGTGGTCTAACATCAATCGGTTCATGATCTCAATCAAAAACTTAACAATCTCCACAAACCCTATACTAGTAAAACCTAAAAACACTGAGGCTAATAAGTGACAGAGTTTAATCCTCTTACGAAGCTAATACCTATCAATGCTAGTAAGCTATTCACCTTAGTTAGATACGCTTAACGTGTCCATGAAGTTAGAGTTGATAGTGTTAGCAAACTTGGTAATTATAAACTTAATAAGCAATTATCAAATCCTGTTAACTACTTTTTCAGCTAACAAAGGTTTTAAAGAATAAAAAAAACAGTTATCTCATGGAACACCAAAAATACTTACCATATCCCCCGAACGTTGATATAATTGACAACTTAACTCATCATTTGCAACATAAAACTGAACAAGACAATGACAGGGAGGAAGAACCATTTTACGTAGATCTAAATAAGCAAATCAGATCAAACGTTTATCAAATAACACGGTGACCACAAAATTATAATCAAACCTGTGAATGACAGTCATGATGATGAATAAACTGTTACAAACGATAGATTAAATATTTGTACAAATATTCGTCAATATTAGAACGAATAGTTTGACAAAAATTGGGCACCGAGTTAGAGAAGTCATTATATGTGAAAATTATATTTGAAATAATCTCAGCAATTGAAATTTAAATAATCCCAACTTTTCGTCCAGACAGGTTTGAAATTATTTAAATTCCAATCGCTGAGATTATTTCAAATAAAATTTTCACATATAATGATAAATTAAATGATTTAATAAAACTACTAATAATGACAATGAAATACCAATGAAATTTTGGGACGAAGTTGAACTCTTTACTATTCCCTCTAAGAAACATATTCAAAATCACCATTATATTGATGAAACACCGTGAAATCTTTTTTACAATTAGCCGATGAGCAATCACTGCAACATTTATAGCGCCTATACAAACGTTTTTAGTTGAAAAACCTAAGTAATATCATTCAATAATAATTATACAATAATACAGTTAAAATACGGCATCAAAAGAAACAATGCAGGCTTATAAATGTTCGATACAATAACGATATGTGATGAACAATATGGTGGCCGTTTGAAAATTTCAAAGATATTTATTTATTTTATTTGAATAATATTGATTCCAGAATTGATGGTCTAAGCAAAAAAAAGTTGATGGGAATTTAAAATTCTTAAAGTCAAACAGTTACAAAAAGTTTACGCGTATAAGTGATTGAATCGCCACGCTTGAATTAAGAAATTATGGCTCTTTCGAATAGGTGAGAAGGAAATGTCAAACCAATTCAAAATAAAGCATTTTGACTGCTAACAATCTTCTGAATATTCGTCATTCTCATTATGTACCTTTAATAACTGTCATTTAAGTAATCTAAAAAATAGGGGACTAGAAGTTCTCCAAGTCCAACTGAAGCAGTAACGTAGAAAAAAATGTTGTGTAATACCTGTGGTTTATCTTATTGGTATGCGACTAAGAAACGACGGTATTCTAGGGATTTGTTTGTAGGCTGAATTTTCAGGCACTGATCTCCTACAAGGAGGTCCACTTATCGACTTAGAATACGCAGATGACATAGTCCTGTTTGGTGAAGACGCTGATAAAATGCAGTCTTTTTGTAGCACTGAGCAACAATGCCAGGGTGTTCAAGAAGCATTTCTCCCCCTCTAAATGCAAGTTGTTGCTTCATGACCGGCCTGTGTCAACACATGAACTAAGTAGTCGAACGCATCGACAACTTCATTTACCTGGGAAATCTGATCGGCTTTAATGGATTGGTGTTTGACGACATCTCTGCATAGATTCAAAATTCTCGTTTTGCTATTGCCAACTTACTTCACCTATGGCGAAGGCGAGATATCCGTCTTTCCATTAGAAAACGAGTATACTGCGCGGCAGTTCGTTCGGTTCTGATTTACGGTTGCGAAACGCGGCCGTTAAGGGTAGAAGATACTCGTAATTTACTAGTATTTGACCACAGATGTCTTAGAAATATTGCTCGCATCTGCTGGGATCACCGGGAAATTAATAGTGAGGTTAGACGCAGGGTATTAGGGAATGATGGTAAATCAGTCGATAAGGTTGTAAATCTTCATCAACTAAGATGGTTGGGCCACGTGTTACGTATGCCTGAACACCGTTTACCACGACGCACAGTGCGGACTAGTGTTGGAGATGGATGGGAGAAAGTTAGAGGACGGCCAAACCAAAACGTGGCATCGGCCTATAAAGTCGCTAACTTCTAGTCATTCAAAGTCTCTAACCATTGGTTGCGATAATCACACGAACCTCAACCAGGTAATCTGCACCTATTAACATGGATCAGTACAATTACCAATATCTTCTATTCTTAAAGGCTATGTTTCCCACTCAAAATGTAGGACGGGATGAAGTCTTGAGCAGTAAACTCTTCCTTTGGTTGGAAGACGGATATCTCACCCATGCTGCAAGTGACACAAGTTGGCAAAAGCCAACCGAGCCTTCTGAATCCGTACCGAGATTTCGTCAGACACCAGACCATTAGTACTGATGAGAGTCCCAAGATTAGTAAAGCGGTTGATGCATCCAACTATCTCACTACCTATTATTAATTCAGGCGTTGACGCAAGCCAATCCTGAAGCAACATTTTGCATTTGGAGAAAGAGAACCGCATCCTAAACATGCTTGCATTGTTGCTTAAGGTGGTCAGAAGGCTCTGCACTTTGTCAGCATTTCACCAAACAGAACTACATCGTCTGCGTATCGTAAGTCAACGAATAATTCTCCTGACGGAAGATCAACCCTTGAAAAGTCGGACGGTGAGATCGTTATCTCTAAAAGCATGTCCACGACAAAGTTAAATAAAAATGGGTAGAACAGACAACCTTGATGAACATCTTGAAGTAACTAATTCTGACGACAGTTTGCATAAGCTGACTTGACTAGTAGTGTTCGAGTAAGGAGGCTTTACAAGGTAGACAAAACATCACGACCGACAGAGTCGAACAACCCCTTAAGATCAGGGGATACACCTATAGTCGGATGTCGAAAAGTATGTCTATGTTCTAGAGCACGCTGAAGGGTGAATATTTAGTCTATACATTCACGTTTGGGTCTGAAACAAGCCTGGTTTTTCCTTCATGAGCTCTAGTTAGACTTCGAAGTATTATTAAAGCTAACATTTTAGACACTATATTAGTTAAACTGATTCCTCTATAGTTGTCACAAGATGATTTTGCCCCTTTTTATAAACTGGGACGATCAGCGATGGAGACCAGTCAGATGGGATTAAGTCCAGTTACCAGATTTCGATTAAGATCTCACTTAATTTAACTAATTAAATTTTTAGAGGTTAGTCCACTAGGCCCAGTTGCTCTCCATCGCTCTAGATTGCTTATATCCTTTCCAACCTAAATAAGTTGGAGTATTTATGTCAGTTTGTCATTTAGGTTTCTTGGGGAGTGGGTAAATGAAGTGTGGCGGAATCCCTATCTTCTACATTGAAAGTGAATAGTCCCGTCTTCTTCCGGAATATTTTAACTGACAGTCGGATTTTTAACATCCATTTTCTTGATAAGGTTGAACAATTGTCTACTGTTAACTTTTGATACGACCTTTTTTATACCTTCTGCCTTCATTACTTATCACTCTTCACGACCAATACGTAGGTGTTTCGTCGGCCTACGCTCAAGCTGCGTCTGATACTCATCGTGTTTAGAACCAGGCGGGATGTCAGTTTTAAGGATACCATCGAAATCCACCGCTGTTTATTAACCTTTGGGTTTAAGTTACTAGTAGATATTACTGCTTTTCGACAGGACTTTGAACATCACACCAAGCTACCTCGGGGAGGATATATTTTTCATGGTTGACTAACTCCTGCTTTAACTGTTCCTGAAATATATTTTTGACTTTTTCGTCAATGAGTTGAACTCTAAGGGTTTTCTTCCTGAAGCTTTTCTACATCCCGTAAGATGCTCGAACAAGAGCATGATCCGAGTTCAAACATATGCTCCATAATGAACGACAGCCCTTTATTTAGCCCCTCCAACGATGGCTATGATCTATTCGAGTCCATCGATGAGTCGCTTGTGATCACCACGTCAGACGATATTTCTCATTATGTTTAATGTTGATATTTCTTAGAAATGGACGATTATCTGAGTGTAGTTGAAGCAGACGGTCAGCATTATTTGTTCAATGAGCCGCAACACCATAAGATCCACCTACATCCCTTTCGGTTTGGTTTAGTTTACCTGTTTGAGCATTAAAATCACACGCCATTATTATTGCATCAGACCGTTTAGCTTTTTGGAGGCTGGATAGCTTTCTATAAGATTCGTCCTAAACTTTATAGCCATTTGGTACCGTATTTACCGGCGAACTCGAAGGTCCTGGGTTGCATTTTGTGAGAGGTCGTGAGAATGCGCCGTTAAGGGGAAACAGCTAACTTGTAATGAATATTTTTGCCGAACTGGGGCAAAGCGACAAAGCATTTCTGAACACTGAGTTTTAGATTGGAACACCATGCCACCTAATTTGGTTTGAGCAAATGAGAAGAATTGCCATATCCATGACACGAGAAAGTAACCCAAAGACAAGTACTCGATCCTCGATTGAACTAATTACTTGTACTGGCTATTAGATTTTTTTCTACATAAGTAATGAATGAATTGGTAAATTTTAAAATTACGAATGACGTAGTGAAAACAAATGTTTGAGTGAGTAGTCCTTAGTACTACACAACATGATATAAAAAGTGAACATAGATTTAGCAATTTCAAGAAATGAATACCCCAAAATATTTCGGAAAACGTTTGATCTGTTTAAAAATAGATTTCCTCACCTTTAACATTCCAAGCCACAATCATAATCCTTCTATCCCAAGGGCGCTCACGTATAAGTTTTATTACATCAGCAAGTTGATCAACACCTTGACCAGTATAGTCGGTTTGACAGTCTACGTATTCTGCTCCACTGTGACGCCACTGGAAACCATAAACTGGACCGAGATCACCTTCAATATTTTGAGTAAAAATATGAAAACACGAGTAGCAACGACAACATAACTAAACCAGTAGAAATTACTTGAAATCATCCTGCCACGCTTCAAATTTTAACGCTAATGATACAACTCATTGTATGAAAAGCGAATTCTGAGGAATAAAATTCAACCAATAAAAATGAACCAGATTACTTCATTATGAAAAGCTAACGCCTTGACGAGAGAACAAAAATATTCCTATTTAACAAGTAGCAACTTTGACTAAAGATAAAGAGGACTTACTGCATACCCTAGTTTGCTACAAAGAATATAGGCCCACTGTGATTAATCCTACACGAGTAGTGCTATTTCCCAATAACTGAATATGAAACCGAAAGGATCAAAAATATGCTTACAACAAAACTTTACTACTAGTAAATAAGCAATAATAATTTAACAGACATCAACTTGTATTAGAAACTGGAAACCATCCCATGACACTAGTGGTAATTTGATATATTCCCATGACCTACAGTAAGAAAATAATTTCGCCCTATAAATTAGATTAACCTTATTTCATCGCTTTCAATTATATATAACTTCAAATTTAGCTGACTTATGCAGTAATAGTTCCCTATTTATAGTAACGTTATTGATGACTAAGTGTTGTATGAACAGAAATAAGTGAATAAAATTTATTGAAGACAGTAATCATGTGTGAAAATTATCCTCATGATTAAAGTCATTAGTCTTAGAGTGAATAAAAGGTCAAATAACAGCAAATATCACTTATGTCAAGAAAACAAACTGATTCATAAATTATTACAAACTATTTTAATGACCTCACCTTCTTCACGCTCAGTAAATCCTAGTCCATCTAAAAATTCACGAGATCCATTTGCATCCCAGAAATGTACATTCTTTTCCGCCAGTTCACGAGAATTTGTAGACCCACGAATAAACCATAATAGTTCTTCTACGATTCCGCGAAAAAACACCTACTAAATCATATTTTAGAAGCTTAAACTATCGGTAAAATAACCTAGCTTAGGTGCATATGATATATATGTATATATTTGCTTGGTCTTTTGGTATAAATTCATTTAGAAGCTATACGCCTATAAATCGGGCTTGTGAACAGTTATCACTCAGTCACAATGGATTATCGCACATAATCAGATCACCATTCAACCAATTACTCAATAAAAATAAACACGAATGCGGTTGAACATTTCAGCATTCCATGAATTTGAAATCTAAGTTTAGAATGAACTGTACTCACACTAAACTACAACCACCAACAAAATCCTACTACAATGCTTATTAACGAAACTTTAGAGATCATAATCTTATAGTCGTTTACATAAATGTGATGAGTGGTACTTTAGTGGTTAAAAGATTTTACTTTGTCACTAGATCCCAGGTTCGAGACCCAATCCACCTACTTTAGTCTGGATAACTGGATAGTATCACTAACCCTTACAATTAGTGTGGCTCGAAGCCAAGTATACCGATTTGTACCTGGTAATACTAGATAACTGTTTATTACTAACGATTTCAATCTGACAGCATAATCATAGGGAATATTTTGTTTCGTGAGGTCATTTGGAAAGCAATTAGGGGTCATAATCTTTAACATGTCATATTTTCAGGTTTAGGCAGTTGCTTATTATTTCTAATTTTCATACAGGCCTAGCTCGAAGTCTGAGTTACGAACTTTAGCTGCATTTTTAAAAAATGATGAAGAATACTTGGATAAACGAGTTTATGATATACAAGATTAAGGAAACTTTTTTCTGACTATTTAAAAAACGAGGAAAAACGGTAAAATCGGTTTGATGCTGCAGTCACTGAGATACATTTCTGTAGTATAAACAAAATGACAATCAACAGTAAAAATACGAGTGTCAAAATTAATTTTTAAAAAGTAAAGGGAAGGCTGCAATAGTGTATATCTATCCACTGGAAGTTACTAACAGTGGCATAACTGTTAAAGACATGATATGACCACCAAGTCTAAAAAGCATCTTCGGATAGTAAAAAGATAAGAGAAAAGTGAATATAAATCAAACCGGAACAGCTTAATTATGAGACAACTTCCGAATCTAAGGGTGAAAATACACAAAAATATGAATGTTCCATTAGTTTTACTTTTGAGATATTTCACTTGTTAGTGTATATCTTTTAGACTTCTAAAAAACTTCTAGAAAAAGTAATGTATACCGGAAGGGCTTTAACAACAACTAATTTAGAGAAACTGATGAGTACTTTTGATTGCATATCTTGAGACATATTTTCTAAACCACAGTGCCTCAGCTCTCATTTAAACCTAACATATAGAAAAGGATGAATTATTCGCTTTGCAAAATATTAAGCAGAAAAACCATTTGATACGACAGATAAGCACGAATAAAATTCAAATACCCAAAGCATTCACAAAACATACTGTTTTTGTAGTCAGTAGAGGATATTCTTGATTTCTAAGAGAAAAGCGAAGCTGTGGACCGAAAACTCCAAACGTCCCTGTGTCGGTACGATCTCTCCGTTCAACGCCATTGGAAAGTATATATCGCAACAAGTTTAAGTAGCCATTCTCACCGAATATGTGCTCTGGGAAAAATGAAAATCCTGTTGGTGGATTTCCAACCGCTAAATCCCTGAATAAATAAACAGAGTTTGAGTGACAAGAATAATAATGGACGCTTAAAAACTAGTACGTAAAGTCGCCGTAAGCTAATGGTAGACATATGGTTATAGCGTCTCATTGGCGCTAATATCGGTCTTTCAGCCGCTGATTTATCGAAAGCAACAAAGAATTTTAAGGCTGGTAATAAAAAATGGTTATCATTTCCATCTTATAATTGGATACTAAAAAGAAGTTTAGTAAAACACAGAACCAGGAAATTCGCCACTATATTACTTAGAAATGTCTGAGATAATCGTAGTGCACACTAGGACAAGAACAGGCATTGAAAATACAATTCAAATAAGAATCCAATTAATGTAGGTGCTCCACTAGCATCAAGACTACCTGTACTTTCTACTTTAAGTTATTTTATGACTCCACCCCAAAAGTGATGAAACAATGTAAGTTTATCCAATATATATTTTCTTCCTAGGGACTTTCATCGAATATAGATCAATTTCACTTAACACACCAGCAGTACTTAGATAGCTACTTGTATACCCTCCTCTTGACTTATTTCAGAACATCACAGAGTAATAGCAGGTATAAGTCTCTGTCGGTTTGTATTAGTTTATAGCTTAGTAAAACACATATACTTACGAAAGCTTATTGACAACTCAGTAACCTGTGTATAAATAAACAGTTAAGTGATATAAGCCATTTAATTGATATCAAGTGGCTTTTCGAGGGGCAGTTTAACCGGTCTGTCGCACCGACGACATCGACCAGACTGTTCCGCGCCCCATGGCCGGTGACGACTGGTCCACCTAACAACACGGAAGTTCGCAAGGAACTCCAACCCCTGAAATATCACGAGTCACCACGTTCAGATGACTTACCTCCGGCCCTTTTAAAGATGCTGGCGACCTTCTGGTGAAGGAACTGAGTTGTTTACAAATGTCTGGTAATTAGGTAATATTCCAACATAGCAGAATAAGTTGATAGTTTCCCCTATCTTAAAAAAGGTTCACGTTGCCTATGCAACAAATAACGGGGAATAAGTATTGGCTTCCGTCATACTCCGTAGGTTGGTCAAACTTGAGGAAGATTGACTAGTGAGGAGTAGGCTGGTTTTTGTTCTGATCGAGGATGTATGGATCATATCTTCACCGTCCGGCAAGTGTTAGAAACACCGTCATACTAATTACAAGTCAGCAATTATGATGTTTCTTGACATTAGGGCCTCCTTGGATTGGTTGGACAGGACTGTCTCTGGGATTGTCAATTGGAGAAGTGTGTGCCTGAGAAGTTTGTTAACATATTAAAAGCCCTATATACAAACACCTCGGACAGAGTGAGGGCATACAACCACCTCTCCCCATTGTTTCATTCAAGCAGTGAGGTTAGACAGGGTTACTCAATCTCTCCATTCCTTTTCAACTTTGTCATTAATGACATTCTGGAGATAGCTTTGATGGATGTAGGTAATGGTGGTGCGGATCTGTTGCCAAGAGAAAGACTTTTCGACCTTGAGTATGAGAATGATATTTTCTTACAGTGCAGCGACACCCAAGCGATGCAAAATGCATGTAATCAGTTGAAAATCAGTGTCCACAGGTATGGCATATGTTTCTCACCTTCTAAGTGCAGAGTACTTTTACAAAACTGGCAGGAACCTGAACCTCCAATCACTCTTGGTAGTGAGCAGATAGAAGTAGTTGAGAAGTTCGGTTATTTGTGTGAGAGCTGGTGGTGGTGTGAGTCATGAGATCAATTCACTTATAGTGAAAGTCAGAGTGACTTAGGCTAGTCTGGGCCATCTTTTCCGCCTTCGTGATTTTAGTCTGGCTGTAAAAGGTTGGATCTACAACGCGTCGGTGAAAATAGTTTTGCTCTACGCTCGTGAAACTTGGCCTCTCCACACGAATTAATTATCACCTTGTTCGAGAAAGGATAAAATAATCGCTCTACATTCAAACGATAGAACACTCTCAGTCTCATTAGTTTTTTAGTCTAGATGTCATTTCCGTTTTCAAGAAACTAGAGGTCTGAGTTTGAGCCATCTCTACTTTATAAATAATGGCACTTCACGTGATGCTTTTTACTTTTAGGATGTATGTCACCACTTAATTCATGAAAATACAGTAGCTAACTGGACAAACCTATTTTTATTAAATCAAAGTTGTTTTCTTCCGAATGTTACCGCCTGAAAAAAAAATGTTCTGTCGTTTATGGAAAAAAGTCAGAAGGCCCAACGTTGGACACAAATAGATCACATCGCTATCAGCCACCGATGGAGGGGTTCGATAGAAGACTGTCGCTCATCCTGGAGCACATGCTTAGACTTAGATCATGCTCTAGTGCGAGCGCGTATTTGTCTACGCCTTATTGGACGTAGGAAAGACGCTGCAAGGAAACCTCTTAGGGTCCTACTTAATGATAGTCAAGCTAAGAGTACATTTGAGGAACAACTAGAAAAATTTAGGCAGCCATGTAAGTGATGCCCATCCCGAGGCATCGTGGAATGACATCCGAAAAGCTGTGGAAACAGTAGTGATGTCTGTAAGTGCGATAAACTATAAGGTTAGGAAGAAACACTGGATCACAGCAGCATCTACCGCACTGATAGATGCTCGAAAACGCATTACAACTGGCTTGGAACATAACGAAGAGCGGGGTCAGCTTAAGCGCATGCTCATAAGAAGCCTACGCAATGATCGTGAACAGTGGTGGGTAGCGAAAGCTGCAATAGGTAACAGCAGACAACTGTTCAAACTTGTTAAGGAAACCGGTATTAGGAAACCGACCGTTAGCGAAACACTCTCAGAGCAAGATGGACATATTATACATTCTCAATCCAGGAGATTGGATCGATGGACAGAACACTTTAGGGACCAGTTCAACTGACCTTCAGTCACATCTAGGTTTCCCACGATCTCCAATCGACCTGAATGGCAAGTTGATGTAAGTCCTCCAAATCTTTACGAAGTTGAAAAACCCATAGGAAATCTGAAGCGAGGGAGAGCAGCAGGCCCTGACAGGTTTACTCCTGAGATTTTTAAGGATGGTGGTTCAGTATTAGCAGCGAGATTGACTGAGGTCTTAGGTAGAATCTGGTAACTGAACGTAATCCCATCTGACTGGTCTCAATCACTGATTGTGCCAGTCTATAAGAAAGGACAAAAGTCCTCTTAAGACAATCACAGAGGAATCAGTTTGACTAATATAGTGTCTAAAATATTGGCTTCAATAATACTTCGACGCCTAACCAAAGCTCGTGAAGAGCCTAGAGAAAATTAGGCTGGTTTTCGACATGGACATGGTTGTATAGACCAGATATTCACACTACGTCAGGTCCTAGAACATAGACACACATTCAGACGCCCCACAATCGTAGTATTTCTCGACCTTAAGGCGGTATTTGGGTCTGTTGATCGTAAGGTTCTGTGGCAGTGTTTGTCACTGAAAGGAGTACCAAAAAAGTATATTAGCCTTATATAGGCTCTCTACTCGAACACAACTGGTAGAGTGAGAGCTTATGGCGAACTGTCATCAGAATTGATTACCTCAAGTGGTGTTCGTCAGGGCTGCCCATTCTCTTCATTCTTGTTCAACTTTGTCGTCGATGTACTTTAGAGATAACACTTTCCTCGTCTAAATTCCCAGGGGTTGAACTTCTACCGGGAGGTTCACTTGTTGACTTAGAATATGCTAATGACATAGTTTTGTTTGGTGAAGACGCTGACAAAATGCAGTCTTCTGACCACTCTAAGCAACAATGCAAGCATGTTCGGGATGCTCAAAATCGTTTGCAGTGGCGCAGGTGCATACACTCTTTGGGTTCTCCCAAACTCTAATCTTCTGAATTCTTCATGTCCCGTTTTTTCGCCTTTCCAAATTTATTTCAATGGATTATACTCCTTGAATAACATCTTCAAACCCTAATCTTTCCTATTACTGCTTATAATCTTACTACCTCTACCTCTACGGGAGTTGAATCGACAACTACATCTCTGTGCTAATGTGGTGTGGCAACTCGAACTGATGTACGTACGTACGAAGTTCGATGTTGTTACTGACTGACTAACTGAACTTCGAGGATTATTTGTTTTTACATAGTTCCTGAGGTCCGAAACTATGATTAAATATTTACAAGTAGATATTTGGCCTCAGCCAATAACAAAGTAACAATACTGTAGCTATATGATTTTCGGAGATTACTCAGAACTGAATAAATATCTAGAACTCAATAAACAATTATTAACAAATAATAAAATCACAATAGTTCGCAAAATGTAATGCACCTTAGATTATCAAGCATACATACGTGGCTATCAACTGAAACGAAACATGTAACAAATACATCTGAATAACAGTTTCCCGAAGACAGCTAGTTCACTAAATGCTTTTGAAATAGGTGGCTCAGCTGCAATACCTTAGGTTAGTCTATATTGCATTTCGAAAAACTTTTTACACACCGCTCCCTATAAACAAGTTTAGCGACAAAATAATACTAGCACAAGAGTTCCTCTAATTAAATATTTGATTAAATGTGTCTGAAAACTAACAAACGCACTTTTCAGAGGCCTTTTGATTTTCACGTGCTTCCATAACCAGTTCTATCAGATGATCCTAAGTGAAATTAATTTGGACTTTTGCAGGGAATTCCGAATATCCAAGTAACTAAAAAATACAGAGCTGTTGAGATTCGCCTGAAAAAAAAAGGAATATAACCTAAGAAAGGTGAGTCACTGGAAGTAATCACATGTTACAAACATCATAGACATAGTCAACAACCTCGACAAAAAAACCACCAAAAACAACGATAACATGGATTAGCGATATATATATAATGGTTACACCTAAGACTATCTATTATCCATGACATACAGGTTGTGGCGGTTACCAGTCTGGCAAACCCGGTGAAACTTTCAACATCAGAGAACTTAACAAAATCAACAAACCAGAGATTAAGGTAATTTGGGCGGAAGAGAAAATTTATTCCCAATTTCGTATAGTTTTAATAAGCAAAACAAAAAAACGCTATATTATCACTTAAGTAGGGCACATAAAAAACCCACCACATAAATGAAGCGACAGTCTGTGACGAAATAAAAGAAATAAAAGAGTAGTTCAAAAACAAGATAATAACTAAGTGGATGGGAATAGCGTGTAATACGAGAATGTTGTTAAAATATAACACCAAGACAAGACTTCTTTCAGTCAACTATTCCTCTCAGGTTTACGAGTCGTAAATAAAAGATAAGATAGGCAGCATTTATCGTGACACTGTGGATGGTGAAAAATTCAAACAACGTTCATTTATGGCAGAAGACATCTGAGATATATATCTTACATAATAAAGCCTCAACTTGCAGTGAGGATTACACATCGAGCAGCAATTCAGTCAGTCATCCACAACGTAGGACCAGACACATATATGCATCGACCCAAGTTGCTAAGCCTCATTAGCACAAGATGACCACCAAATTCATAGACGCAGTTACTTTATTAATAGTAGTACATAAAAAAGATTGAGTATAAGAATACGGTACAGGAAGTAAGAATTAGTACGTAGAAAGGTATAAAGTGATTCTAATCTCACGGTTTAAGGGAAGACAGTGTATACACTTACACCATTGTGATCGATTCTGTGCCATGTCACCAAGTCTCCAACCATTGGTTACGATAGTCACGCGGACACCAACCAAGTGGTCTGCATCTACCAACATGGCTCAGACCAGAAGTTGGTGACTTTGTGGACTGATACCACGTTTTGGTTTAGCGGCCTCTAACTTTCTTCCATCCGTCTCAGACACTAGTCAGCAATGCGCGCCGTGCAATGACTAACTAGTTGGATATAAGAAACTATGGATTCTATTTATTGATTCAAGGTATGTCATGTTTACAGTAACTACTGGTCAACGTAATAACAGTAGACCTAAAGAATATTTTAGACTCTGGGACAAGCTTTTTTCCATAACTACAGGGATAGACTAGATGAAGGGAACATAAAACGAGTATGAAAGCAAGTTTATACTTCATTGTTTATGTTTTGACTGTTGTGCATATTTTTTATTTCAACGCTCAGATTTTTCGTAATATCTCGACAGTCTAGTGATATTGATGTCGCTAGTTTGCCAGTACATTACAGTATGTAATATTATTCATATTATACATAACATTCGAACTATTCTTATTACCTACGCAACCATATTTATATACCAGTAAACTTTGCTGCAGAATTCTGTAGAAAGCGTAATTTAAAAATTCTCTTTATTTTTTTATTAGAACACAGACATTGGTACAAGAGGGCACTAAATACACATGCGCCGCAAAATAACAATGATATCAGTAGCAGTTACCATTTATTTGTGTGAAGGCTGTGTTACTGCCCGTGTGTCCAAACCACAGCAGGTGGTTTTCTTAGGGGGCCACACCCCAAGCTTCTGACCTAAAGGTCTAGTTCATAAGGCAATGGAGCAACGTTAGATACAGTACCATGGTAGCCAATGACCAACAACTAGTTCATACGCCATTTTTTCCCTCAGGATCCTGGAGTCCATGTGCACCACTGGTTTGAAATCAGGGTTTTCCAACTCCCTTACGTGAACTCTCCGTGTCCACTAACCAGGTTAAAGCGCCGGACATTCGATTTTCGTACTCTCCATTCTGTAAACACCTCTACCGCGAGAAGGCAGTGAGTAGAACTTCCTTGGCAGTAGCTGTATACACATGGCCATGTGAGAGCATTTCGAGAGGGGAAGTAGACTCTCCCCACCCTCGACCGTACCAAGGCGTTCTGGTAAAATAAAATCTTCAAATAAACATCGTGCAAGTGTGTGTCTCGGTGCGCTTGAGTATTCCTCCTAAAACGGAAGATAATTTAGTCTAATTGACTTCAGAACTTGAGATTACTTAGATTTTGTACCCAATCTCCCTATTTCGGGGGAAATTTAGGGAGGCCCCTATAGAAAATTTTGGGGAAATGAAATGAAAACTCCGAAATTGGAAGATTGGGTAGTAAGGAATTTAGAAGTAGAATATTTCTCAGATGAGGTTCCGGGGGGAAATGCGCTTTGGAGGGATGAGGGATACTACCGAGGAGAAACTTTGGTGAAAAGTAGACCTAGTAAGTTGTGTAGTGGAAATAAGACGTTTTGGAGATTTTGAGGAAAAGGCTGTGAAATTTTCAGGGGGGGGAGATTTAGGTTTAAAACGTCTAGAACTCTAAACATTTCGCAAACTTGGAGGATACCCGGCATAAACGTCTAATTCCCTTTACATTTCCCACATTCTGTTAGGTGGGTTGCCTTCATATCCCAATCGCACTATCTTGGAGAACTTCGGGGTTTTCCCCAGACTCGTAAGAAATATGGTAGTTTCCCCCAAGGTTTGGGGAAACTCTAAAGTGTGATAGGATTCTAGGGAAATGTTGGGGAAAACCCTAACATTTTGTAGGTTTTCTGCCATTTCCCCGAAATATCCCCAAGGTTCTCCATAGTGGTTTCCGCAAAATTTACCCAGAAAGGACTAACTTTTTCTCGAAATAGGGAGACGGGATATATTGTCATTTATATACAGTACACAAATTTTAAGAAAGATCCTGTGGATCTTGATCAGATGCAGAGGATAAATTAAAACCAATGTGCTTACACAGGACCTTTATTTGGGATGAGATGAAGTTAAGTAGACACAGGGTCAGAGAACAACTTTAGTTCCACCAGCGCGACGATTTTGAATGGGGCGCCTTATTTTATCAAAACCCATTATCGTGCAAGACATTACATACGAGTCACAAAGCTAGTGTTTAATGACGGCTCATCTGGCTATTAGTGTCTAGCCAACAGGGTCTTGTGTACTAGGACAGTATTCAGGGTAGCTTAAGTGAAGACAGCTAGAGAAGAACAAAAGAAAAGTTGACAGACACTGCACTTAACCTTAGTAGGGAGAGTAATAGACAATAATTAGCAGTGACACAAAACTCAGACCACGACAAGCTTCAAATCTTGATTAGAAGCAGACGGTTTAACTCTTCTACAGCACATGGTGCTTGAATATAACCGTTATTACTGTTAGGAAAGTGCCAGTTTACGTAACTTTACTGAAAATTCATTGTCCCCAATTTTTCCCTCGTTAATGTTAACAATAACTTTATGACTGTCCGATAAGGATACTTACCCAACCACAATACTAGTTCAAGTCTCTAAAACAAATATTGTGACAGTGTCTCCAGACACACCATATGAAACAGTTCTTCTCTCTAAGATATTCGGTATAACAGTCTTCTAGGACCCAAAGATAAGCGACTAAACGTAAAACTCGGTCGGTGGACTACTGTTAAAATGAGTCCGTCAGAATAAGAGTTCGAAGCTACATGCCTTCCCACTGTGTGTAGACATGTTACTTTCCCCAAATAAATGATGAAATTCAACTAGGGTCAACGCACTCTGGTTCCCTTTCATTGTGGTCTAACAAATGTTTGGGTTGGCTGTTACATTGTCTTACCTAATTTAGTAACTGAACGAGGCAATGTGAATTGGAATTTGAGGTTAGCAATCATTAGTTTACTGCTCTTTAGCAGACTAACCTTACCGACTTTATTATAATTTTTCCTCAACTCCAAGCAAACAAGCGTTTTTATTCATTATTTTTTACATTGTCAGTCTCTTTTTTCTTTACTGTTGAATTACTTTACTTTTATCTGCTTTAATGTTTATAGTAAGTCCGCTGAACTTTTTACTACGTACCTACTGTAATTTAGAAAATTAATCCATTGTGTAACACTATATGATAGCCTAATTTAGCCTATCTGCACCTCAATCTTCATTATTCACTCCAGACAATCAACAGCTTACCCACAATTGATCAACACACATAAAATACGTATGGAAATTTTTAATTTTACTCTCATTCACTCCTTTGCTTTCCAGAGTGCTTACATTTTCAGTGCTTACGGATTTGATTGATTCCTAAATAGGTACTCTGACAACTTGTGACCTAGCTTTTGAATATTCTCGAGTAAATCCGCAGTATCAGTAGGAGAATTGAGCCGTTAAAATACTAAGTCAACGAGACTTCGTCTGTTGGAGTCAAGTGGAAATGTATTAGTTTCCACATGTTAGACCCAACTAAGAACAACGGTCAGGGGACGATATACAAATTTTCTGCTTTAACAACAATCGTAATAGCAAAATCTGGGATTCTCAAATTCGTTCGGTGTATGACTGAGCTGGCTATTGCTCGATTCGAGGACTATTTAGATAGATTGTCAATGAATATTATAAAGAATTCACTTTACTATGAAACATGAGAGTGAAAACAAGTTACACTCCTTAATGTAGCAGTAAAACTGAGGAAAGATGGTACAGTCCAACGTTCGCTTTATAGAAAAATACACGGAATGAAATCCATCTGAATTTCAATAGCTTCTGTCTATTCACTAACAAAAATGCACTGTTTCAAATACTATCTCACCAAGTAGGGAGAATGCTAACTACAGATAGACTATAAGAGAAACTAATGAATGTTGGAAAGTGTTTAACGAACGTTGAATACCCACAAAATCTATTGATAAATACAGAAAACACAAGAATAAAAGCCCCATAAAACCTGGTTTATTCAACTTGAATTTTAAGGTGACAATATTGCAAGGACTATCAACATAAGACCAAAAGTGTCATTAGCAAGAACAAATCCCACACCTAAATAGATGATCTTATGGAAAACAATGTTTTTTAACACAATAAGCTCCATTTGCTACCATATATCCGGTGGTCCTCCTGTATATTTGTGGCACTTTTACTAGCTGAAGTTACTTTTGTACTTGACTGTACGGTTGTTAAGAACCCCAAATACAATAAATCCGGCTGTGCTCATCCAGTTCTTCTTGCTTTAAATTGCACAATTTCGGGAATTCTTAGTTGGCACATCAATTTGAATACATTTGATTACCGTCATTTTCTACTTATGTACGTCCATGGTGGTCTCTAGCATAATTATTGGATTTAAAGATGGCGCAAATATTTGTATTTTGGCAACGCCTCAACCAGCATCACCTTTATAATCGAAAAGTGCCAACGCAGTCGAATCAGAAGAGTAAGGGTTCGGAGATTTATTTGATAGAATATCGATATATCGAGAAATTATCAAACTAAACTTCACTAGCGATTGTAGATGTAAAGCACGACTTCCAACTCGTGATTTGGTGCGGATACGTGACCAAGAGCCTCCAGCTAGGTGAGTCCATTAAAACTGATGCGGTGGGCATCAAACGTCGAAAACGTAGAGACCAATTGATTTCGGGGATTTATTTACCGCTACAGATCACTCTCTCTCTAGTGGGTTGGTGATGACCTTAAGACGTGGCCAGTCAGAAGGTTAAACTCAACGAATTTTTCGTTAGCAAACACTTTTTTGATAGCTTTCCATGTTCATAAGTGGCTGGTCGTCATTATTTAATACAAGGAGCCATGTGGAAACTATTTTCGTAGAATGAATTTTTGTGAGAAAGAAAATATACACCTATAATCGCATTAGCAACAAAAAATATCTTATTTTTAAGTTAAAAATTTAAATATGTATGAACATATTAAAAAAATTTTTCAACACAACGTAAGAAAGTGTTACGTAGCGTTTTATGTGTAGTAATCGTTTAGGTGTTTTATAAACTCTAATCTTCTTCCAGGACGCGTTGTTTTAAGTCGGTTGTCAGATAACATTGAAGTATTGTCGTGACTGTCGATTATCGAGTGAGATATCGTAATCGTGAGAGTTGTATCTTTCGACATTATTACGGTTTCCTTCTAAACAAGCCGCTATGAAAAAATCGTTACTAATGTTATCGTTAGTTCCGTTCTCATCGATGGTATAGTACTAAGGTTCACACTGCAGGACTTTGCTGAGTCCTCCGTATGCCATCTCGAGAGGTCGTCGAAATGCGTCGCGACGAAGGCATGGTCCACTGTTTTGTCAGAATGTGTCCAATCTATAAATTCAGCATCGGACAAAACAGGAAACTTAAATGTAGGCCTTACTCACCTAGAAATAGTCAAGTCATATTTTCTGAATCTCTTGTTAGCCATTAGCCGCAGTGGTCAAGCTGATCTGATGCAGATAATGACAGCACAGAAAGCCACTTGTGTTTGTAGTTGTATCTGTTCATCCACACGATACTCTATGCCGAAAATGAAATAACTTGGAAAATTGGTTTTTAACATTCAATGCGGAGAGATGGGCAGCAGTAGTGAGAGTGGGATTATTTAAAGTGGCATGCCGCACTCATGCAGGCGTGCTCACTATGTATACAATCTATTGCATTTTGTATCGAATAAATTACTCTCTACTTATCCCAAATGTGTTCTTCAGAAGCACTAAACATCATACTGCTGATTATTATGACAGGACGAGTCAGTGTGGACAATGATGTGACTTTGAAGTAAATTACCTAAAGAATGAATGATTTCAGCAAACTAATGATATAATAATGATGATTTACTCTCAAATAACAGTTTATTACATGAGGCATGTCAGTTAACAGACAAGATCAAACTGTTACAAAATATACAATTTTCACTGTAGTAAATTACTCAGCTGGGTTGATATTTTAAAAGATATGATTGTAGATGGTTTTAGTAAGAATAGTATATCCAATATCACAGTTGGCGCGCTTAATGAAGGTTGCGTCGCGACATGCAACTGATGGTCGAGAACAGATCCATGTGAAGTTGGATGCTTTTAGAAACCGCAACCTGATATCCTTACGGAATATCTGAGGCTGTAATGATGGTGCAGGACGAAGTCACCCGTCCCATATCTGTGTTCGGTGGCACATCTCAAGGGGTTGAAACAGGGTATAATAAAAACAGGACGGGAGGCAGAACAGACATTGTTCATGGAGGAATAGTTAAGGTATGACTACTCAGTCTGATTCTCTTTTTTTAAGGTACTTATTAGGCAAGAGCATTCTAGTATGTTAAAGAAAATAAGTGCAAAGAAGGTATGAGTGGTTAAAGAACTCTATAAATGAAGGTGGTTCAGAAAAAAGCTGAAACTACGGGATTATGTGTAGTTATAAAATAAAGTGCTGAAAACAGTATTTTGATAGAAAGATGGTTGTAGCCCAATTTTGTCGAAGCTAGTTGAGCCCATTTTTGTAGATTTTATAGGGCCTTGAGCAGACCTAGCATTTGGCGAATTGTCTAGTTTGCTTGTAATAAAATTACTTGGTAGGAAGTGAAGCCAGTTCAGCGTTCTAAACACGATTTAAATAGGTATTTTGTATAATAAATCAGCATCAAACTGTCGGTCCATGACATTCCACTGGAAAATAAGGAGCCGTGCTTAAACAAAATTTGACGAAACTCTAGTTTATGGACGAGCCTTGAACGGATCTTTAGTAACCTTCAGAAATATTAGCCGATCAGCAAACAGTCGGTATAGAGTAAAAATATTTTATACAAAACCAAGGAAATACAGTGGATACACTTCTTATACGTGGTTCAAAAACTTGTCAAGATTAGAAGGAGGTTCAGAGGTTCTAAAATCGTAATGCATGCAGTAGAGGAAATCATCCATACGGCTACAAAATAGTCGGCCTCTGGAGCCATGACAAGTTAGCAAGAACTCTTTCATCCTCAACCACATAGCTTCAATATTGTTTATGTGCACTCCAGTTGTTGAGCGCACAAAATGCTACTTGTGGATAACGACACGATGCACATAACAAGGTTTATGTAGGAATCTGTACGCTCTCCAAATA